CATTCAGATGAGAAAGCATGCACTTCTTTTGCACCTGATATTTCATTTCTGGAGCCAGTTATCAAAGATCCAGAACAACGCCTCTTGGCCATTTCACTCTGATCATCATAGTGTTGCATTAGTTCTATGCTCCAGCACCCCTTGCATCACTCAATATGTATTAACATACTGTACAGGAGCATGATGTATGATTATTATATTTGGTCGTCATTACTCGTTTCAACGATTTCAATGATTTCAAAGATTTCAACGACTAATTAATTCCTATTCATCAGTCATATTTACAATTTAAGTGTTTTAGAGGCGGCAGCTTTTCCTTCCACAGCCCTTAATATAATTAGATAATTATCAAATAAAACATTAAGAAAAAAAATCTGAAAAAATCTGAAAAAAAGGTGCAAGCACATTCAGAATCTGCATTACAAATAAATTGGATGATTTTCTGCACAAATGTAGCAGCTTAACTGCTCCAGCCAATCCTCTGTGTGCTGACTCAGGATTAATTCATGTGATGGCTAATTTGTACAATTATGGAATGTTCCGTGATAGTGAGAGAGCACACTGATACGTAGTTTTGTCTCACTGGCAGTCCATGCCAAGTGTGTTTGTGAGAATTTATTGATACTGTAATTGAATCTTTTTTTCTTTGAGTGCATAGTCCAGCTGATTTTACAAAGTATTTGTTTTTTTTTGCATGCAGTATGCATTTAATTGGCACATATCATTTCCTCATAACATTGCATCTTTTTGTAACACTGTTGAATATGGGCCTGAGTAGCCAGAAGAGCATGCTGGCTTGGATTCTGCAAATTGAAACTATATCCTGGTATTTTTGGCAAACGATATGGCATGCATTGAACAGTACTACATTTTCTTCTGGCACACTGTCAACCTTCTTCTGGCACTTTTTGGAATTTGCCAAACAGCTTCAGCTGCATCAGCACCAACTTGTGAACCGAAAGAGGGCCGACCCACATTTGTCTCCAACCTGTTACAAACAAGAATAATTTACTTACTTCCATTAATTACCCATTTATGTTACAATTTGAATGTGCACGATCAGAAATGGTTCAAGCATGCTAGAGATCTTCTTGTAGTATGAAGGCGTGAGTCTCTTTCATTTTTAAGATTATTCACAGTTACCCTGAGATTTATGTGAAAGAACAAAGATACCACCAGCAAATATATAATCACATGTCATTTAGCTAATACTTTCATCCAAAGCGACTTATATTGCAATTGTAACCCAATGTTTTTAGACATTTTTATTGTATTTTTTAGTATTGTGCAGCCGTGAAGGCGCCCAGGGAGCAGTTAGGGGTTGCGTGTCTGGCTCAGGGACACTTGGACATGGGACATGGAGCAGACAGGGTTCGAACTGAGGCGCATCCTCTCTACTCCCAATTACCTGATTAGTAACACGAGTGTAATATAGCTCCCTCCCTTGGACCACGGCATTGATTTTCAATGCAATACCGATGACATGCTGTTCATTTCCATGCCACCAAGTGCTTTACTGCATTAATCACATCAACTTGTGAATGTCACATAGGAGCTGCACGTAGGAAATATACTAATTGTTGCTGTAGCTGCAATTTAGAAAGAAACATCCGTCAACAACATTTGGAAACAAAGTTTGTAACCTTGAAGCAAACTCTGTCCGATGAGCCGCGATGTGCACGTAAGAGCCAACATCATTTCGTCATTGTAATTTTAGTAATGTTACAACTATTTTCCCCTCCAGGCAGACTCTGAATGACCTCATGCCTTCGTCACCGGCAGATTTGCTTCCTGTAAGATAACAGCAATACATCCCCAAAACATCGGTATGATTTAATATCGACCAAGAGCACAGTACCACAAAGTACACCCGTGACTTCACTGGGTGCCAAAGTAGATCACAGCCATTATTTCATTTTTCATCGGGCACATGAGTTGAGCATTTCACTCTCACAGCAAGCGCAGCTTTATGCTACACGTTCTTTACACTGGACTGCAGTTTTCAATTTTCAAATATTGTTCTCCTTAATATAAAATAAAAAAAAAAAGTTTAAGGTGGGAGCCTGTGATAGGGAAACAGGGGGAGGAATACACCTTTTAAGAATAATGAAACAAGCTGCCAGGTGTTTGTGGTAGAAAGGGCAGCATGAAGTGGCACCATATCTGTTAACAGTCCGGCTTTTGAACTCTGCTGCTGTTCCCTGGCTGAGAGACTTTGTGTGGCAGTGATTTGGTGTCAATGTTATTTACCGAACTGCCTGCCAGCTGTCCTGAGTGCATCATAATCTGTTTCTAAGCAGTTTCTAACAATTACTTTTGAACAGACATGTCTTTACACTTTAGAATTAACAGTAAAATATCTATTGGTCCAACTCCAAGGACTGTATTTTGTTTTCTAATTATCTAATCAAATTTTTATTATAATATATTGACCCTTCTGAAGGATTTGTTACTATCCTAATATTCCCTGAAAGTGGCAATGAATCAAATGGTGATTTGATCAACTAATAACAATATCTAAACTAAGTAGTTGGAGTGAGTTAAATGATGCCGTTTTTTTTTAAGCAATGGTGTTTTGTGCCTGACTCTTGGCATTCCAAACAGAGTCAATCAGTGCATCCTACTATCACAGTTTCCACGGGAACACAGACTCGGAGCACTGCAGCAGCCCACGCCGTCTCCGTCGCCCACACAGAACAAAGCCAGGCCATTACCACGTTGTTGTGTGTATCTGTTGGCATGTGAGGACACATAAGATGAAGAGCGAGGGAGAAAGATGACCGAATGACCACGCATACATATGTGGCTGCTGGTGCATTTACAGTGTGCAGCAGTGTGGGTTGCTTTACTGCATTGCTGGTAAGCTTGAACACGGTGAACACAGCCCCTGGAAGTAACTCTCCTTATAGGGAGGGGAAGCTCTGCGATGGAGACCGACTTTTTTTTTATACTGCAGCACTCCAGGAGAGCGGGGGAGGGAGGGAGGGAGGTGGGGGGAGGAGGGGGTGACAGTGGGTGCACTGTGCCTCTTCTCACTGGTATCCTCCAAGAGACGTGTCCTGGTTGTAGGACAGAATCTGCTGTCAGACGTATCAATTGCCTGCCCTTGATGCAACGTGTAAGGCTACTAAGATGTGGACCTCAACTTTGCACGCTGTGCTGTTATAATGTGCACAAACAGCAACCATATACTACTGATTTTGCTAGTTCTATCAATACTACTGAATAATTTGATTTTAATTAAACCTGTTGCCCTTGAACGTAATAATGTGGGGTTTAATGAAGTACGCCTTGCTCCCTCTTTGCTCTTCTGTATGCCAGCCACCCTTTGGCAATTAGCTTAAAATTAAAGTAATCTCAGGGCCACATGGTACTTTTCAATAACGTATTTAATCTGAAATCTCACATGCTTTATATTTTATCTTTTCTTTTTAGTAAAAAAAAACATTTTGGTGAGCATGAACGGAGGCATTTCTGGCCCATATCGTTTTTCTTTAGTATATATATACATATGTATATATGTATATATGAAATGTATGTTCACAGAACTGTGAAGTTGCCATTGCTTTCTGATGTTTAGGTCCATGTTGAAAGCATGATGATATCCTGTAGACATCTAGATTATGCTTCTGAATTTCATTTACTTTAAAGCAAATTTACAATTATGAGGTATTCCTTTTTGTTATTCCACTGTGTTAGTGAAATTTGAGTTGTCCTTTAGATTTACGGTAGTATTTCATATCTGAATCATACTTATTGCTTCATTATTTGAGATGGTTTTGAAAACATCTCAAATATAGGCATTCCTTTTTAATTCTGAAATGTTTAGTTGAACCTAAATGCAATGATGGCTGCTGCAATGATCTTTTCTACTCAATTTGCTGTCACGAATTAAAATATTATACACATTATTCAAACACTAGCATGCTGAAGACTGCGCTGGAATTAAGCACTCATTAATTTATTTGAGCCTCGGCAGCAGAATAAATAAGGAAACGAGGAGCTTAATGGCGTGTTAGTCAAAAGCCAGTGGATGAAGCCCTGGTCATGTTTTTTAAACGGGCAACTGTAATAAAAACAAACCTGTCATGTTCTTAAAAGAGCAAGCTGGTTGGAATTATTCATTGTATGGGAATGTTTCCTCAAAGTCAAGAATGTATGCTTTAGTCTGCATGTGTTTGGATGACAAAAATGAGCAGACATTATCATCTCAGCAAATACGAATGTCATTGTCGAACGTTTGTTTGGAGAACTGAACATTTCTACTCTGTAATATCTGTTGGAGGAGAACAGTGCGTGTTCCCTCTGGTTCCTGCTGTTCAATACAGCCCTACTTTAGCGGCAGGATTCAACAATAGAGGAGATTTCTAGTCCATTGTTGTACTGGTATAGGCCCTTACAAGGATCCAGACTCCAATATAATTGCAACCAACCCCATGTCAAGGCAAACCATCAGAAATACAAAATGTTAACCGCATTCATTTTCGCTGTATTTTAATCTTGGTATTAGTAGTAATTGGTTTTCCTGTTCTTACTGTCTGTCCATCAGAAGATGCTTGCGGACCGAAGGAAGCCTCATCTGAAGCAGCTCAGGCGCCACCGAGAACTTTTTTCTTCTACTATTTTTACTTTACATATTAAAAATGTGACTAGAACACGTTGGCCAGCACTAGTTTTTGCATGAGACTTGTGAACTGGATATCGCCCAACATCGCTTGTGCTATTTATCACCATACAGCGGATACAAGGCCCGTTCATCGCTGCTATATTATAATATTTATTTTAAAAAGTCACTAGAAATGTAAATGACCAAATTACATGTTTAGAAAAGTTAGAATTTTGATGAATATTGGCATTACAGATAATTCAGCTATATAATAAATTGTGTGAATGAAGTGGAAAACATTCACAAAACTTGTAGATTAAGACATGCGACTTTCCATACTGTTAGAATATCTATCATGCTCTTGTGCCACAGAATGAAAGCAAGAACCAGACAATACAGAAAAACAACAATAGTTTATTTAACCATATTTTGTGTAACTACAAACTCTGGTCTCTATAATCGATCTCCATATCTTTTTAAAGGTCTTGAAAGAATGCTAACATGAAAACCAATCTTATTCTTTTACAGCATGTTTCTCTTTTTCAATTTTAGAACAGGTTGTTGGCACAAGTAAAATCATAATGTATCCATTTTTTTGTTGTATTTTATTCTAAAAATGTTTTTTATATAAATCTACCACTAAAACAGCATTCCCTCTGAGAAAAAAAGAATGTAAAAAAAAAAAAAATTTGACAAAAAATATTTAGATATCTTACATACATGAGACAGCTTGACTAAAATGCAACAAATCGACCATGTAGATTTTCAGACGATTTACCTCCAACAAAAGGCAAAAGGGAGAATGGTTGCACTCTCCTAGGTAAACTGAGTAAAACTGTATTTTCCAACCAAAGGAACTTAAACACAGAAAAATAATAGAAGCCCATTTCATTCTACAGAAGTGCAATTATGGGATGAGTTGTGTCAAGGGGTGACAAAAAAATAATGATATCAATTATATCCTTCTGTCTGGACTAAAAAGGTCAGAGAATTCAAAGTGGATTAAACTGATTTACTAAACAAATCCAGGATTATCGTTCTATTATCTTTCTAACTCTTTTTTACTTTTTTTGATAATAATTGAGTTATGGGAAGCAGCTTATTTTGTGTTTAAGGTCAAATGTGGGAAGTGAACTCCCGGAAAACTCATATTCAGCTACTCTGCTTTCTTTTAGAATGTTCAGGGGTTGGCAAATGTGGAATAGAGTGAATTTAATCAGATAAAGGACAGGAGGTGGGTGCTATAACAGGCTTTCACGTACATGGACAGCCCATGAAAGAGTTGTGTTTTAACTGTAAAACACTAAAGTTTAGAAAAACATGAGCATGCACATGGACTGTAGAGATATGGATTATTTAACATGAGTAAAATCCAACCATTAACCCAAGATGAAACTAGTATCGGATCTTTGAAAAAAAGAGTGTATAAATTGTGAAATTTGGGCTTCAAGTTTAGAGGAGTGAATGGTGGCCCCCCAAAAAAGCGCATGCCACTATCTGTAACTGTATTTTTTAAAGAGCCATTGTCTTTCATATATGTCCTTATTGACTAAAGCAAGAAAGTGGCCTAACTTTCATACATATATATTTTTATGCAAGTGGAGCAAAAACTGCAGTTGTCTCATAAACATATACCTGGGGGCATTTATGTAAGTGTTGAATCTGACAAATGTCTGCCTAACCTCTGAATTTATGTTGCCCGCTGCCATTTTCACGAGTGGGACTTTGAAACGGTTTCCAGGGCACGGCTGCGTGTGGAGCAGTGTTCATCCAAAAGCCATGAGCATCATCAATTAAAATGGAAATTGTCTTGTTTCAAAAGGGAGAGGGGATAGAAGCAGGTGCGACCCAAACATCTGGTCGATGCTCGAGCCCACACACTCCTAAAGCCTCTCACGGCATAATCCCCGCTGCTCGGGGGCCAAGTCCTGCGGTTGGCAGGGGCAGGGCGTGAATCTGGAGGTGCCAGGCACTGCCCATGTAAGAGTGTGGCACACAGATGACAGGCAATGTGCTCAGGCAGCTGTATAAAGGGTTTAAGCTCTTTCGTCTGCTCATCAGTCTGCTTCTGACAGCACTCAGTCCTGCAGTGTTGCAGATGAGGTAAGGGGGTCCCAGTATGAATAGGATGCCTTAAAAGCAACCTCCTTTTAAATGCCACACTGCAAAGCCCTGTTATGTAAAAGTGAGGTCATGATACATTGAAAACATTTCCAGGCAGTGAACTTTTGCCATAATGTAAGATCATCTACATTCTTCACAAGACTCTCCTACATTTTTATTCACAATTATGCAGATTCTAAAGTACCAATTAATGCCGTTCCTGTATCATGGCCCTCTGAATCTAAACCGGTCTATTAATGGAACGTTCTCTATAATGGTTGCAATAAATCCAAGAGAAGCTGGTAACTTCAGTCAGAACAAGTGGAGATTGGGGATAACATTTTGCATATACATTAGGAACACAAAACCAAATGTAAGATTTTTCATAGTTAATCAATATAAGTGAATTTAACTTAAATGTGCTTCTAATACCGAGCCTCTACTTTTACAACAGCGGAACAAAGGACATATTCCCCTCATTTACGATCCTCAATCTTTTGATTGCAAAACAGAGAGTGCTTAAAGTGTATCTGACAGATATGATTAAATAATGAATTATGCTCAAATTCCGACACTGACATTTACGTCACTCACTGTGAGATATTGAACATGAATGAAGTGTCCAACTAATCTCAGTTACATACAGTCATGAAGATTTCATCACTTTATCCACAGCTGAAGAAGATCACTAATGTCCTCTAGATTTGTCTGATAGATGGGCGAAATTAAGTCTAATCCAAAGGCTGCAGTTTGTCTAGAACGAACAATGATTTTCTTCAGTAGTTTGAAAGTACACGTAAACCAATCTGTTGAAATGAGAAAAAAAAAATCAGTGCTGAAAAAATAAAAGCAGAATAAACTTTTTTCTTGATTTAACCACAATAGTTTTTTCTTAAATAAATAACTTCTGTTATGTAAAGACACTTTTTGAAACAGTAGACATACCCTAATTCCCAAAGTCATTGAATAAACATCACCAGTCACAAATTTGCCAAATGCACAAGTCTGTTGCTCCATTTTTTTTAGCCATAGTTCTCAAAACCAAATTGTCTGTTATGTCCTGTCATTAATGTCTTCATGTCATTCAATTAGTTTGATTTTGAAGAAAAAAACACAAATAAATTAGATCTGGGTCTCTTGTACGTTGTCTTTTGAGCTGGCCCGAATTAACAAAGGTTCGTGGGCTGAACTGTGTATAGAGTTGATAGTGGAGGCATGATTGTACGCAGTCTTGTAGGCGTTGTAGTGGTTGAGGTGCTCATGCTCAAGAGGAGGCAGGGTGAGGTGCCCTTCCATGCCCTGGCCTCCAGTTACACAGTCCTCATCCACATTGATGATCTCAATGGTGCGTGTGGGTGCGTGGTGGTTCTGCTGGTGGTGCTGTTTACGCATCTTGTAGAAGATGATCAACATGACTGCTGCCATGAGTGTGATTGCAACAAAGCAGCCAATGATGATCTTGGTGGTCTTCATGACCTCATCCAAACCATTCAGTGAACCATCGCGATCTGTGACTGGGATGGTGTAGGTCTTCTCTGTGGTGCGGGTGTAGAGCGGAGTCCGGACTGTTGTGGTTGTTGTGGAGGTTGGCGAAACAGACTCCCATGTACCAGCAGGAGGGGTGGGGCCCACCTTCTGCTGCACAGCAATGGTGAAGGCTTCATTGTGTGGTGATTCTATTGTCTCCACTGTCACCGTGGTGAAGTAGCTGAAGCTGCTGTTCTCAGTAGAGGACACATTAAGAGTGGCAGACGCTGTTGTGTTTCCTGCAGAATTACTGACCATACACGTGTACGTGCCGGTGTCTTGCATGGTAACATTGGTAAAGTTTAGGGTGCCATCGGTAAGCACAGATATTCTGATCTTGTAAGCTCCGTGTGTCATGATGGAACCATTGGGTGTAATCCAGCTTACCGACGTCAAAGAGCTGGCTCTGCATTTCAACTCGGCAGCGCTTCCTTCCGTCACATTTAGATCTGCTGGAGGCTCCACAATAACAGGAGCATAACAGTGAAAGTGGTTCTGGTCCAGCTCGCCAATGTATCGTCCTTTGTGGTGGGTTGGTGAGCTACAACGGGCACAGCAGCTGGTGTTAGCTGGGACCATCTCCTTCAGCCACCAGCTGAGCCAGAGGATGTCACAGTTACAATTCCACGGGTTGTGGTGCAAGTGTACCCTCTCTAGATGATGTAAAGGAGTGAAGAGATCGTGGGGCAAAAGAGTAAGGTTGTTATGGGCTAGATTGAGCTCCACTAGTGACTGCAGGTCATCAAAAGAGTTCCTTTCTATTGTCTGGATCTGGGCATGCATCATCCATAGCTTCTGCAAATGGATGAGCCCCTTGAAAGAGCCAGGTTGGATAACAGTGAGCTGGTTCCCTGACATCTCCAGTTCATCCAGCTTCACTAGGGGAATAAGGTTGGGAATTTCCTTCAGATTGCACATTCCCAGATTTAGGTAGCGTAGATTGCTCAGCCCTTCAAAGGCACCCTCAGATATGTAGGAGAGACGTTTGAGCTCCCCGAGGTCCAACCGGCGTAATGAGGGCACTCTGTTGAAAGCATAGGAGGGGATGCTCTCTACGGGGTTATTCCTCAGCCAAAGCTCCTTTAGTTTGGACAGGTACTCAAAGGCCCCGTTGGGGATAGTGGTGAGGCGGTTATCAAAAAGCTCCAAGGTATTGAGGCTGGCCAGTCCATTAAAGGCGCCCAACTCAATTTTGCGTATGTGGTTTTTGCTCAGCTGTAGGATCTCCAGATGTCTCAAGTGCTTGAAGCTGTCCACCTTTATGACCTGAATTAGGTTTTCTTGCAGATTCAGATATCGGGTGTTGGTAGAGATGCCATCAGGGACATCTCGCAGGCCACGCCGGGTGCAGATGACTTTGCTGAACTGATTACTACAGGAGCAGACAGAGGGGCATGTCTGAGCGCGTACCAGCCCTGCCACCACCAGCAGCTGGAGGGCCAGAAGCAGCACAAAAAAAGGGTCGGACAAGGCCCGGTTCCACCTAGGACCTCGCATCATCTGCTGCTGCTGAGAGGAGGTCATCTTGTTTAACATTCATAATTCATTGACTGGTTTTGCACTCTTTGTAATGACGATTTGGCCTCGCTGAAATGAAAAGAGAGAAAGGAGATACATTAGATAATTGATCATTTTTAGGCTGTCATATGTCACTTCCAATAGTTGGCAGTGAATTACTCAGCATAGCAAATTAGGAATCCCATAAAGTTAAATGTGAGGGTCACATAATCACATAGGCACACACACACATACACATCCATCTGTGTTTCTGGGTACACTGTCCTCCATGCAATCTCAGTCACATGAAATAAAATCACAACGAATATGTTGACTTCTGTGTTGCATCTCTGTGGGAGGAGGACGGGAAGGGAAGAAAACCAGCTACTACTGCTGTGTTGAGTCAGTTCTATTTGAGACTCGAGCGACATAAATAACAAGGAAGCTTGCCACCCACCAATCCTTCGAGTCGAGGAATCTGGGTTTGTCTGATTGCAACTCTCAGTTCCTCAAAGGCACGTATGTGACTGAGATGTCAAACAAGAAAGTAGTACTGGGGTACTTGTTTGTGTAACTCTTTATGTATTTCACCAGAGGAAACTGTGGAAATACAAACAATGTAAATTGAGTTAGATTTACTGTGTGCAAGAGAGAAGATGATGATGGTGCTCATTTGATTTATTCATTCATTATTCATTCATTTTATGCTCCTGTGTTCTACTTGCTAATACCAGTTCATTTAAAGTTGCTTATGTTTTTGTGGTTGCACAACAGGGTTAGAAAAGGTGTCATTCATATAATATGAATGATAAGCAGGGAGCAAGGAAACACTGCAATGGATGAAGGTGCAGCTATAAATAAAACCTTCCAGTGTGAAGCAAAAACAGTCAGGATTCACTAGGATTGGGAGTTTTAAGGGGATCTGGATACTGAATGTGCATATTCATAGAATGGTGTGATACAATAGTGGACTTCATAAAGACACAATTTAGTCTAATCAGTTATTACTAGCATCGAGTAGTTATAAGTTCTTGAGAAGGTGTTATTGACTGAATGGAAATCCCAGCACATAACGGCAAGAACAATTGGTATCTAAAGCAAATTTGCAGAAGCGTTCAAGTATTAAATATCAAAATGTAGCTCCGCTAGAGATCCATGAAGAGATAGCTTATCATAACAAATGAATTAATTCTATTACCTTTAGTTTTCAGGTATGAAAGCATGTCTGACTTAATGAATTGATTTATCTGAATGATATTGGAAGTGAATATATATTGTCTCAAATTTAATGTTAGAAAGCAGATAATAGCTAATTGGTAAAAAAAAAAAAAAAAAAATCCTTGCAGTGAATGCTGTCATAATAATGTTTAGCTTTTCGCGTAGCTGAAAAAATTCCATATTTTTAATTGTTGCCATACAAATATTTCTTTCACTATCAGTGAAAAACATGGAAGGCAGGTCGGAAGTGAGTCACAGAGTAAGCACAGATAAAGAGAAATATTTATAGCGCCTCTACCTGAATGCTTTTAAGCGCGGGAGGAAACTGGATCACGTTAAGAAAATGAACTTGAAGAAATAATGTAAACTTCATACAGAAAGCTTTAAGTACAACCTGCAGTGAACTTAAAGTACAATGTGTTTTGGAGGTGCAAATGGCACCTTTAAATATTTTTGATTGTCACACAAATAAGTTCTAATCTAAAAACAAAGTAACTATGTGAGTCCTAGAGACAAGGGTTCTTCTGCCATGTATTTGATGAATAAAAGAGACAGTTTAGTAGATAAAAACACACTCTCTCACACACACACGCATGTGTAAAAGCATTAGTATTATGGTTGATTTCTAAACAGTGTCAGAGTCAAACACATTAAATACGTGCACAGCTGTTGTTTCTATGCAGTATGTTCAACGCGCAGCCTAATCTGCAACAGACAGCTCTTAACTTCACGAGCAGGCTATTACTGTAACTACTGATTAATTGCTTGATTACTGACTCCATTTATTCTTCTATTACAAAATTTTAATTCCAAGTAGCAATAGCCCGAGGGCGGAGAAAGCATGTGTTCCCATGCTGGGGTCCAGGCAAATTTGACAGGGATCAGACTGATCACATTTCTTTATTGCAGTAAGAAATGAAAACCTGGCACTAAATTGACCCTCAGAAGTGAATTATAATAAAAGTTAAACCACACGCAGTTATTATTCTGTCAAATCCAATGCTTTTTCAAGGGGACATTCCATCAATAATAAGACCAACTACAAAATGCGATGCACAGCACAGATCTGTGAATAATTATCCTCCCGATAAGAAATCTGTATACCTCATCCCACTATCTACTCATCCTCCTCGTCAACAAATTAAACTTCAAAAAGACTCCAATAAAAAATCAGCACTCCAAATTATGGCAGCAGAATAGATGATTGAAGTTGATTTAGAAAGCAAAACAATGCATCCTCATGAAAGCAACACAATTGGATTTAATTACCGCAGTGAAGGAATTTGTCAGATTATGAAGTGCCAAATGTCTGGTGGAGAACAGAAAAGCATGACCCAGATTAGCGCAAAGTAGACTGTTGATCTGCAACATTTGTGAATTCACTTCTGGTTTACGAAGTGGAAATAATTCACACTGATTCCAAATATAAACAAATCTTAATATGTCTATACTGCAAAAAGGATATATCTTCAACATGTAATATCAAAACATGTTATTTCACGTGATCCATATACATCTTCATATGGTAATGAGGATAATCTTCTAGTAGAAAATACCATTAGCATTACATGATAACACATTTACCAGAACACCCATATTTTTGTATTTAACAGGTATACGAGTGCCATTTTATAGCAATTGCTGTATCTTTAGTCAAGAGCGTGTTCTTTCAATTTGAGAGTATCACCCATTGGTTTCACTTCAGATGTTGTATTGCTTTCTCTGAAAAGTCATGTTTTTACTCTAGTTATAAAAGTCCCTACTTGCGCATTGGATCTGATTTTTTTTTTTGGCTCAAACAGTATGCTTGCACTCAGATATATTAGCAGTTGCACAGATTTCCCGCACTCCAGTGTCAGCCCTGGTCTCTGCTTTTGTGTGGATTTACACTCTGCTCTTGGATTTCCTTCAGAGTTAGTTTTTCTTCAGTTCTTCAGTTGAGCTACTTGATGATTATCTAACACTAAACTCTGTAGCACACAGCTACGTTTCTTTGAGTGGTTGAAGGTCTGGGTGCTTTGGAATATAAAGTTAGTGATTGTCAGTCGTATTCCTGTTAAGAGGCCGTTCGCTATATTGCAGACATATTGGGGACACACTAGTAAGTAAACTCACCCGCAACAAAGCAGAGATCATTTCGTTGGTCAACATTTGTTTTAACATGGTTGTTCTACAAATAAATCCGAGAGCAAAGGAGAAATCAAGGAGAGAGCAGATGTTTCCTGAGCACACAAAAGCTGCCTGAGTGTGAGAAGCGCTTGAACCATCCCTTAGGATCTGCCATTAGGCCACTTAAAGGTAACCAATGGGAATTAACTGGGCCAGCCGTAAAAACAATGTATTCATCTCTTTCCTTTATACAACTAATTAATCCTCACACAGCATCACTTCAGGGTTAGTCCTATTGGTTAGCTATCCTTCTCATCCGGAGTACAGCCCCAAAACATACGTAATGAATATGTATTATGAATATTATGAATTATATATACATATATTTCTATTTAATAAAATAAATACAAATGTATAGAATCATTTTTCACAGAAACAACCATTTTTGCGCTTCAGAAACCTTGTCAACTATGTTTCCAGAGGCAATTGAGAGCGTACAGCTGTTGATCTTCAAAAAATGTTATCTGAATAAAGTCCGCTGGTCTTAGTTCTACAATTAGAATATCTGCAATAAGGGAACTGCATGTTATTGCCGAAAGCGCTGACCCTAATGACATCCCATGATTTGCCAAATAGCTGACATCTATTCAACTAGTCATGCGTGAGTCTACACTATTTTCATTCCTTATGTATTTTATGCATGCATAAATCCCATGTTTCATCATACCACTCTTTTATTTTTGCAATCAGCCAGAAAAGACTGAATAAATTATTTAGCAGTGCTGAGGGAAATTCTTCGTGGGCCGAAGGGCCCTTAAAATAGGATTTTCCACTGCCGGGTAAAAAGTGCAGCGATTTCTTTTATTTTCTGAACCGTGGTCAACAAATTTTTTATTGATAATTCATGCTTCATTTGAAAGGTAAGAACAGTGAGAGACTCGGCATCATGCTTCCCACATTCACCCAAAAGTCTAGAAACCAAACCTATGAACTCTAAAGACGAGTGACGGACAGAAGATTTGGATCAAACACATGGCATAGATACTTTAGAGGGAGAGATGTGTGTGGGAGTTGGCTTATATGCTACAAAGAGGGGAAGAGAGAGAGGGAGAGAGAGTTAAAGAGGAAGAGATTAATGAGATAATAATCAAATTAGGTCACTCCATGATGATGCCAGGATTCTTGCAACAGTTCCAGATATAAACCAAAATCCTTTGTGGATTCCATTGTACAAAGGAACGCACCTGCACACAAGCCGTGTGCTCTTTTCCATCTCTCTCTGCTCCAGCATCACAGGATTAACCTGCAGGACATTGACTACTGCAAAGAACGGTTTGGAAGAAGTTAGTTATCATATAGAGATATTATTCTTTTCAAAAACAGTGTTTGGTCGCTTATTAAGCTTATTAACTAAACCAGTATTTTCGGGAGGGTAAAAACAGGACTCAGCGTCCTCTCCTTGAGCCACTGCCAGGCACTGCTGTGTATCTTGTGATACACTTGTATTACTATTTTGAGGCTGAAAACAGTGTGTTACTCAGTGTGACTCAACCGCTTTCCTGCTGTATTTTTAATTAAATATATATTCATGAAGGTCTTTTTTTTCTCTTAGCTGGGCCAATTCTACTGATTGTTGGTGTTCCCGAAGAGCTAAATTGGGAAAAATGAGTCCCATGAGGTTATTAAAAGATATTTGAATTTCATTTGCATTTAGCTTTCAGTATTTACATTCTCATGTCATTAGTCGTTCATTCATTCATTTGTCTCTAATACTTCATAACACATATATTATAATGCATGTGAACCAAATGATAAATACACAATTTAACCATCCCAATGTGAAATAAAAGTATACTGCTGATCATTATCGGTGTATATTTTGTGAAAATATGCAATTGAGGGATAGTTGAGGCTTTCTGGTAGTCTGGTAGTAACTATTGTTGGCCACACCAGAGCTAACAGCTATTGTACTGGGATTCTGTAGAGTTACCTCATGATGCCTTCAAGTCATGCTCAGGTGATGTAATTTAATCCAGTAAAATGTAGCTTTTGGAGAGAAACAATAGTTTTTTTTTGTTGTTCAGTATTTTAAACATAACAGAAAGCAATGAAAACACTTAACACAGAATTGACTGTAATGGTGTTTCAGTGAAATTCTTGGCTTCACTTTAAAACCTAATTATAGTACAGCAGTCCATCACATATGTACACTAATTGTGAATCTTCTTCGTACGATCATACATTGCACAGTATATACAGTATGTATGTAAATACTGAAATCCCATGTAGGAAATATGTGTAAATTGGATACAACCGCACCGGTCTTCTCCTCAGTTCAAGCAACAGATCCTCAGGATGGCTAGGAGTTAAAAAAAAGACAACGAGGAGTCATACGGCATCTCTTTCTTAGTATCTATAGTTTTGACCGGCCGAGTGAAACCAACATGCCGACAGCTGCTCGCCCGCCCACAGCCGGACATGCAGCCACTCACAGTGTGCAGGTCTGTGATTCGTCCAACAGACACTGATTCGATCATCATTCCATGCATAGAAATGTATTAGGAAGGAAATGTACAAATGAAGCATTCCTATAATCTAGAAATCTACCCTTATTCGGTCATTTCAATCATACTCACAATAATTAACAATTCTAATCCCATAAGTGTGTGAGTTTTCTCCTGTTTCTTGATTAACTCCTTGCCCTCAAACATCAACCCAATTCATGTATTGTGTTTATTTGAATGTACTTCTGCGTTCCAGTAGCTTCGTTTGCTGTTCTTTGCTTCACCTCTATTCGCAGTTTGAGTTAAGTGTGATCATATAAGAAAAGGTATTTGCCTGCTCTGTAACATCCGCACATAGTGCCAGTTGGAAACATACACAATGGGGGGGACGTTAAGAAGTGGAGAAAAACAACACAAGCTCATCTAATGAACACTTGTAACTTCAGACTGCCTTCAAGCATTCTTGAATAATTATCACCGTACCCAGACATGCTAATTTCCTACAAGCTTCTTGGTTTTTCGAACTGCTTGTCAGACAATTGTTTGGTTCTGAAAAAGTTGGAAACACAAATCCATGGAGATAAAAATAAAAAAAAGAATACAGTTCAATTTCGCCAATATTCAGTAAAAAAATCATTAGTGCCGTAGCTCTGAACCTGAAAACATTAATGTGGAAGAGTGCAACTGTCAAAAATACTGAGCCACATTACAAGCAGAGACAAAGTTCAATGCATTAGAAGAGGCACATTAGTCCCCATAGGAATATTAATATAACCTTAATGGAATTTATTTGTGTTCCTACGTTGGTCGGTTTAACATTTAAAAAATGAATGACATGTGACAAAGAATTATCATTGGAATGGTAACTTCAAGTTTGCTAAGATTTCCACATTATAGTACTTGAGTAAGTTGCAACATCAGCCACAGTTTTTTCCATCTTTTTCCATCCGTCTTTTTCCATTTTCCATTTAATTTTCATCGGCGCTAGATGCAAACATAATGCAGTGTATTTCCGATGACGTGTCTTTCTCTATTTTTGAATGAGGCCGTTGTTGTGACGCGCTACACGTGAGTCAATGTTCCAGTGTCTGCTTTAGGAAGCAGTGTGTCACCAGCGTGTGATGGAGATGGTGTGTCATTACTGCACGACATCTCACTTGTTATTCAGGTATGGGCCACTTCTTTACAGCGCAATTGCCCCCCCAAGCGTAACATTTTCCTGAATAAGCTGCAGTAACTTTATTTAGCATGCAAGGATACAAACACATGTATATCTGCAAGAGCACGTACCCACACACACAGACGCACACACACGCATACATACAAGTACGGGTGTGGACAAGTTTAAATATGGAACATGCAAATGATCACAAGTACGGTAAAGCCACAGAAGTATCCATACAGTATAGTCTTCTGTAATTGGAGTCAAACGGTAATGGGGATTGAGACTTAAAATAGTTATTTGAAATCAATCTAGTCTGCACAGGAGCTATTTGGCTTCCTGTTATTCCTAAATCAATCACATCATCCTCCATCCTATGAGCAGTGTTCAGGGAGACTGTGGGAAGAAAATGTCTGTCTGCTCTTCAAGGACGTGGGATAAAGGAGTGTGTCTGTGATACGGCTGTCGCTCAGGTGCCCGGTTGAGGTCGGAGGTTACCACCAATCACTTGGTGGTTGTTCTGAGGCCGCGGACCCGGACATCCAGGCTGCACGCTCTCCCCGAGTATTGAGTACAGGGATTGAGAGCGCATGTGAGATAAGAGGGAGATTGGGGGCGAACTGATGATATCTGCAAAATCTACAGGCAAAACCGGAAGCTGTAGTATCAGTTGAGATTAAATAAGTTAAGTCGGGGAAACTTTAAGTTTACTTGTTGAACACTTATAATCCTTTTGACCACTTCACCTCAAGCTCAGTTAGAGCTCACAGCCACGTTGCTTGGCAAAAATTCACAGAGCAGGGGGAAAAGAAGGGACTGTTTAAAATAAGATTTTAATTGTATTCAATTGATATTGAATTGATGCATAAAATTCGGTAAATTTCCAGCACAATCTAAAATAACAGATGACAAAAGATGCCAGATATTCAGTGCCTGATCACGCTCCTGCATCAGCTGGAAAAAAATGACTTACTGTGGCAGAGATAATATAACCTAAAATAATGACAACATATGGCCAACACGGACAGCATTGTCGGCCTCGAGGAACAGTGGCTGCAAAGCAAAAGTTCCCAGACACTGTGACAGTCGCTCACACCGAAAGTAGAACAGATGTGTAGTGGATGTAACATGCATGAGTTGCAGCAGGGTTGTTCACACCAGAGGCGTTTTTTTCTGTCCGCTGTCCAAAAGTACCCCCTTTTGTGAACAAAACAAATACAACACAAACAGAGAAATATCGCCTGACACAAAGGTGAAATGTGTAGTAAAAACAGAATTCTTACAGTGCGAGGTACAAGCAGAACCACCGCTGAGGGTCACGACATTATTCCCATTTTTCTGTTTCGGTGAATTTGTATCATGCTTTCTTTCCTACCCATCCACATAATCAATCATGCACCAAAGACGTGATGTGTCATTTCTCATTTAGTGCAGTGCTTTGATTAGGTAAAACCTACCATACAAGACCGACCAGCCTCTCTCTGTCTGATCTTATCGATTAATAATTTCCAAGCACTTAAAATCCTTCGATGAGGAAGCTCATGTTCTTTTGCCATTTAATATTTGACACGCACAATTAACAGAGCATTTATTGTGTTCAAATTGTTTGACCATTGCGCCCGAGCATTGCCAAAACTACAGCACATGGTTCATGGGCTGCGAAAGATGCAGGTGACAAGTTTAAAAGTGTAAGTAAAGATTCCAAAGCTATTGCCTCAGTAATTATTCAACACAGTCATGAAATAGACTCAAAACAATTATAATAGCTCTACTGTTGCTTAGAAAAAGAGATAGTCGACACAGTAGTTAGTCAATATTCTGGCCTTGGATGAATAATAACAGATATTATTTATCCTCATTTGCTTAGTTCTAAAAGAAAGTGTAAAGCTTGCCCATAAAGTCAGTCAAGCAGTCAATAAATCTGTTATTCAGCATTCTTCAGTTCAAGAAGAATATGAAATAATGCAAACTTATAAGGTGTAAAGTAAAGCCCAAGCACAACAATTAAAACATACAATTCAAGGAGAGAGCTTACATTTTGAAATGTTTTATCTGATCCCTGCAGTCCTTCAGAACATATGATGAGTTTACAGGCACTTAATGTAACTTTGATATGGGTCAATGGCTCAGCCATGAAATCGCTAAAAGTAAAAAAATTTGGTAGCTCATTTATTTAGACACTAATTTACTTTCCCCACCAAATCCTTTTCACAATCACAGGAAACTAATCCCAGCATACAAAGGGCAGAAGACACAGAAACAGTGTCTAGTGATTCTAGTGATTTATAGTTTCCAATCCACTGAGAATTAGAGACCTTTCCACTGGGCTGTGATCCCACGCCTCAAGAAGTGTAGTTTACTGAGAACATAAGGATGATTTATTTGAGCTGAAAAGAGTTTTTTTTCTTCTTTTTTCTTTAGTGTTTGGGTACCAAAGTTACTTTCACTCAACTTTCGCTGAATATCTTTTGATGAAAAGTATTATATATGCATGATTTTATCTTTATATTTAAGGTTAAAATTATATAAATGTGTATACATACAATATTCACAATTTACAAGTGCAACACACACAATACGTGGACCAGGAAGCAATAACAAATTTAATTCTTACCTGCCAATTTAATCACAGTTCCAAGGTGATCTGGTCATCCTTTTGTTAACTTCCAATCCACTGTAAATCTGTCCCTGAAAAAACAAAAAGAAAACTATATTAAAAACAGATACTAGATTTCCAGTATCTGGATACTCACATACAGCCATACATATTGTTCTGTTTTGGAAGGTTAAAGGTTAAGTTATATCTAATTCAATATTCTCTTTACCTAAATCATCATTGAGTAGTTTTCCTTTCAACTGCTTCCTTGGGACTCTTTGCTGATGCTGATATTTTAGTGCCTTTATCTAACGAGAGGAGATTTACAGTAAGTCGGGGAGAACGTTCCTCCGGGGACACGGGGACATTCAAAGCCATAATGCCTCCCAAACAAACACAAGTAGCCTGCACACAAAAATACATGACAACACACAACACAGAGGACAAACCGTGCTGAATAAATAATAATTGGACAAGAGCAAATGAAGATAAAGCTCTCTCGTCTTGTCCACCATCCATTGCTGTAAAGCAGGAACTATGAGTACAAATGAGCGCTTTTGATCCACTAGGACATTATTGTGTGAGTCTATCATGACCTTTGATTTAAGATACAGGTTTGCCGACTTGATCTCATTTATGCACCATTGCAAGTGAGTATTGTTTTCACGTTGTAGTTGCATTAATCCAGACAATCAGTAACTGATAAAACACAGCAAATACATCTTCATGTGCTTCTGATGATGGAATGGGAGTCAGAAGGAATTACATAAGAATATGCTTTTAATTTGCTTATGAATTAGCCTTTTGGAGTGGAAGGGCACAGTTCTGCAGGGGTTGTCTTAATCCCTGCATGTGGTTATGCAGCGCCTGCCTGACTAAAGCCAAAATAAATGCTTTTCTGTCTCTCAAAACTTACCATACAATCTTTATGGCAGTTTTCTTAAACCATATATGTTCCTTTCGAGGACAAAATATTTAAAAACGCGTCGCTATTATATTTGTTATTTTAAATTATTCTCTGAAAAAAGCTGTTGTGTTCGCAGATATTACATAATGAATTTCAGACACAGGACAAAAATATGTGGGATTGACTCCAAAGAAATAGAAAAGTGCTCTGTTTAATCTTAACAAGGGCGCATGTTTCTATTTTTTACTTTTGGATAATGGATGGTTTTTTTTCTTTTTTTCTTTGGAAAATGAAAATGAAGAATATAACCAGCTTAAACTTCTCCACTTTATTACTCTGCAACTACTGGATGTGAAATTGTGGTAATACACACAACTGAGGTTTAGATATCATGACTACAAGACCATGATGAAAACCGAGCATTTCTTAGTTTTGCCTATAAAAAGAAAGTACAGGCGATCAATTATGCCGACTGATTGAAATAATGTATATTTGGTTTGCTGTTTACAACATTATTATTGTTCTTTGTGCGTCTCACAAAGACACTGCATGCCATAAGTACGTGTTTCAGAACAAACAATGTATCTTCTTTCTAAGCAAATAATATCTTTTTGAACGAAAAACAAAATGCAGACATGCAGCAGGGTTTGTTGGAGCCGACCTCCGGTGGCCTTTTGAAACGCTCATAGCACCTCTGTTACAGCAGTGCATTTCGTAAAGAGTTTATTATAGCCTCATATTTTGTGTGGACACCAGATAAATATTTATCATCTTGTTCAGCCTGTATTAAATCAAATTAAAAAAATAAGCTCAGCCATTTTTTCTTTGTTCTTTTTCTCCCATGTAAACGCACAGAGATAAAGATGTATAGTCAAGCAAATTCAGACTAAAATCAATGACTCATGGTCCAGATTGCAGCATATTTTGACCTACAGGTCACACTACATCATCCACTGGAAATGACCAGAAATGCAAGTCAGTCTGAATCAATCAGCTGCGCAGCCACTCGTTCAATTAAGATTGTAGTGGGGGGGTTCAGTGTGGTTTGCTGCGTGGTGAGTACAGGCTCCCAAAGGAGCTGTAAGTGCTGAAAACAGCTCAGCTGCGTCTGCTGTTTGTCACCATCTAATTGTAAATCCATCTGTAGCTGGTAAAAGACCCTCGCCAGGCCAGATTGCTAAGAAGCCAGACAGTAAGGGGGGTAAAAAAGGACATATAGATAAAAAATGCTGAAACTCTTGAGGTTAAATGTGTACAGTATGGCTCTAATCCATTTGAGTTTGCTGATAAAAGCGAGAGATTATCAATACATTTTAAAAAGATCTTTGAAATCTCTATGGGTTGCTTTGACATCGTGCAAATGCACACAGAAAAATATTTTACTTTAAAGCATACTTAGGAAGATGATGGTGAAAAGATAAAGCGGATTAACAGACTTTAATGCAGGCATTAACATTCAGTAAAATCATGCAGAACAAAGAGCATTTTTGTAATTATCTCTATTACATAATGTGTCTTAATTCATTTAGAATATATCAGGACTTAAATGAATGCACGTCTCAGCAATGTACATTTTTTGACAATGTGATGGCCTATTTTGTTGTGTTTGTATCTTGAAGTGCGGACAAATATGCCGCCATGATATCCTGTTCAGCCGAAGTGATTTAGAAGCAGTGTTGCAAGCTTTTCATATTTGTAACTGACAAACTAGTGCATGAGGTCTATTTACTTTAGATGAAGCTTCATTCTTCTTTCTAAGATGACACAAAACATGGCTATCTGCACGTCCAATCGAATCGAAAAGTGGCTGCAGGGCTGAAGGATAACAGCAAAACGTTATACAACGTTCCCAACATATGGCACTTGACATACATTTGTTGTCAATACGTAACTTGTATTTACTGACCACACTCAAGACAGAGTGGAATTAGTGCAATCAAGGGAGATATGGAGTTAATATGTCAGATTAACAGCCTGAATCAGCAGTAGGGGAGGAATATTTTCTGCAGGGAGGAAGAAAGGCTGACAAGCCTAAGTACAGGAAAATGGAGTAAAATAATAAATAACTGCTCCTGTGGCTCTTGGTTTCACTCAGACCAGTCTTTGATTATTTTATTTTCAAAAGGACATGTTCCCTCTCTTCATCTGCCGTGAAATGGATATGAAGTCAGTTTTCCCCGGCCTTCAGCAGCTCATGACGGGAGAGAGGTATACTGGTTCGGCCCCTTGAAAAATGCCGGACACTGTGATCTGTTTTCATGGCGAGTCATTGGGGACGAGAGAAGTACACAAAGATAATGCAGAAGAACATGTTAAGGACGGCACGTAGACGTAAGCATTCAGACGGAAGGGAATAGGGACACAATACTGACACTCAAAAGGAAGAGGGAACAGTAGGCAAAGGTAGTTTGAGGAGAAGCAAGTAAGATGAAAGACACAGATCGCATGTTCAGCCCTGGAGAGAAAGAGCCAAGTAAATTACCGATAGGAAATTTCTCTCTGACTCTCATATGAAAGGCTGGCAGAAGCCTGTGAAGAAATATGCATGCGAATGGATGCCATGCTACCAATAAGCATATGTAATGCGGATTAATGTGATTAATGTGAGCTCTCTATTTGACTGTGCCAGGTTGCTAACGGCATGTGCGGTGTAAGACTAAAATTGACCAAAAAGTATGAACCAGAGACATGTAGTGAGGTAAGAGGAGAGAGAATAACGCAAAGTGTGTCATTTCACCGGGCCTGTTGTCAGTGCCTAAGCGGGGAGCTCTAAGTTATTATTATAGAACCCCCCTCACCTTTAACGCATGACTACTATTACGTTAAATATTGCTTTTGCGCACAAAGGGAATCTTCATTGTTTTGGTGACCATATAACATTGTTTCAAGCATCAACAATGTGTCATTCCCAACAACATAACATGATTCCCAAATTGCCATGATATTTAGAAAGCATATAGATGGGTACGGGGATGAACCCCCTTTTCACTGTACGAGTCTTTATCTCATGCATTGCAACATTTACATTGCATACCTATATGAACTCTTTTGACTTCACTGACCCCCTAACGCTTCCTGTCACCCTTACTTTGCAAATAAGAACTCTCTTTGAGGCATACTGCAAAAAATGCTTAACAAATTCTTAGTTATATACAACTAAGTATATAAGATACAGCTATTTGATTTTCAAGATCCTGTGACCCTTTCTGTCAAGTTACCCTCTACTTACATTTTTACATTAGATAGTTTTTCTTCTTTATTAAATACTCTATTAAATGGCTCTGTGCAATTAGTATCTCATACTCTTGACACAGCTGCAGGGCTTGAGACGCTGGTGTTTGTTTTCATGCGTGCACTGGCGTGTTCATTTTTTTCTACGCAGTAGACAGCACAGCATGCATGGGAGAGCAAATGCTTTTTCCAATAAAAGCCACAATTCAGCTAGACAATCATACCTTTTCTTAGCCTAAAATGTGGGAACCCAGTTCACAAGCGAGCCAGCGTAACACCCTTGTTTTGTTTCCACATACTGAGAACATTCTTCAAACCAGCTTTTAGAAAAATCCATGTGGACACATTTCATTGTGATGTGCAAAAATCGCACAAAAGACTTGTCATCGGGCTTCAGCTACCACCACGTAGAAGAGTAAGCATACAGGAGTGCAGCTACCCCATTCCCAGCTGGATTTAACGCTCGGGATGCTGAGCGGCTTTAGATTGCCTTATCGGCACTAAGCAGAGCGTTCATTACAGGTACCACAAGTTGAAGTTGATAGTAGAGTTTAGAAAGGAAAGGCCGACATGATACTAAAGAAAGGATGTAGTACAGTATGAAAGCCAAATTATGAAGCTAGGTATATCCTCCTAAAGGGAGACAGCGGAGAGGAGGAATAGAAGGCAGAAAGGGGACATCTGCAGTGTTTTCCTATTCACCATTATACCAGAGGAGTACTATCCACTCACCCCCCATCCCCTCATCCACCACCCCAAACCCCGTCAGCCGGTCCGCCCCCCTGAAGTTGTAAACCTAGGGGTTTATGGTTGTCTTCCTAAAGCCAATTTGTGAAACGAATGTGTTGACTATCGCAATAAAAGGTGCAGACGAGCAACATTTTTCAAATAGGAACTGACGATTTCCAGCTAATAATACTGGAAGTACAATTATATGTGTCTACAAGTACAACG